ACTAAGTCTGAAGAGTTTGAAGCGTTTCGACTGACTTGATGCGTTACAGTAAAGGTGACTCGTCCCCGATTCGTGAAACCTTTAAATGGTGATTGTGAATTGTGTGGAAACTTGTCACGTTGTGGGAGCGAGTGTAGTTAAAAATGTCGTGGGTAGTGGGTAGAGGTCCTATGTCGTGGGTAAAGAAAGTATAGAAAAACATGATAAAGTAAAGTAATTGAAAAAAAATAAATAGAAAAAAGTTGTAAAATATTTGTGAAACGAAAATCTCCTTTATTTTTCGCTCGCCTAAATGCCTTTTTAGTGTCCATTTGTACTTATAAAGGATTCGCTTATTTGCTTTGCTGACCGCGGGGAAGGAGAATAAGACTCATGGTATGTACGTGGAGATTTCCGTTTCATGAATTTTACAACTTTTCCTCTTTTTAATTTTTCATTTTTTTGGAAAACTTTTTTTTACCCATAACATTCACCCACACATACCTACACCCACACCCACACCCACGACCCATGACATTTAGCTACACTCCATGCAAAGACTTCTCATTCTCAGCCTGCATCACAGATCAGGGCAGCCATACATCCAGTCCCTCCTGCGACCTACAGTGAACATACATTTGTAACACTTTGTAATGTGCGGTACATGTAGCAGCAATGTAATGGAAAATTCATACCATGACTAACTGACTTGACTTCCACTGTCTTAGGGATGGTGGCAGCTGTCCCAGTTGATGACATTCTGCTCAAACGCCCTTTAAACAAAGTGTTCACCATAGTTGACTTGCCAAGACCAGTAGCACCTTAAAAACAATACATCTTATCAATAATCAAGTGTACAACAACTAAATTTTGTCTCATTCTTCGCAATCCTGATTGACTGATTTAAGCAATGTCAGATTGAATTCAGTGTCACATAAAAATATATAATTTTGTCCCTTATCCTTAATTTAAATGATTCTTCTTAGAAAAACTACACTCAGACTCCTGTTTATTGCTGATAATAATTTTTATGCCTGCTCATTTTTCACCTCTGTGTTGCTGTTTAAGTAGCTGCAAATTTTGTTACAATGCTGGGTTGCAACAAACACCAATACCCTAAATACGCTGTACATAAAGGGGGCTTAGGGGTGTGGTCACCACTTGCTTTAGGTGCGCCTTATTTGAAAAATTGATTGAAATTAACAAAATTAATAGACAACAATTATCTATGATCTATGTGCTATACATGTACATGTATAATATATATATAGACCATAGAAATGACATCAAAATGTTCTAAACTCAAGTGGAATAATGGACCCCAGGAGAGTGGATTGATTCATTGTGATGCTTTCAGCATGTGATGTCATTAAAATAGTAACAATAACTTACCAACCACCATAAGGTTAAATTCAAATCCACGTTTGAGTGACTTTTTGCGAATCTGCTCCTGCACTGTGTCAAAACCAACATAACCTTCTAAAACTGTCTTTAACTTGCCCCAGTGGGTCATTGCTTGCATCGTCTCCATCATGATTTCTATAAAGTTCTGGTAAGACAGGAGCCCTACAAAACAAAAAGTCAGAAAATAAAATTTACTTCAAATGATACATGTACAACATAGAAACTTTCTCATCCCCCTTCTATGACATTAGAAGTGAGAAGTAACTTAAGAGTTATCACTAAAGTAGATTTCAAATAAAAGATGAAGTTACTGATCTGACCTTTTTCAGCCTTGTTTTCAGCTTTGTTGTTAATTGTATCCTTCTCACTCTCACTGAGCTGTGCTCCCAACAGCTGAACAGCAAGAGTTGAAATTGTTGCCACGTCAACATATCCAGTCTCTTCGACATCTGCAAACTTGAACACCTTTGATAAGGCTGGAAATCAAAGCAGATATTTTTATTGTTGTTATCATAATCAAAGTTGGAAGTGCATTTAAGTGAAATAAAGGACAATACTGACAAACAGGGAAAAAGATAGTAATTATTACAAAAATAAGTGCAAACAATATTTTAGCACATGTTAGACTCAAATAAAGCAGCTTTTGACATTCTGTTTAAGATCAAAACTATTGCTGAAGAGAAGTGACTTCGAAAATGGAGTGCAAAGTACTGGTGGTGTGCTGATCATCAATAATTGATTACAATTATTGAAATCAAACATTATTGAAAATCTGTATTCATAAAGTGACGTCATAATTGCTTATGGAGAATGCTCAATCCATTATCGCAGGAAAATAAATTCTTGTTGGCAAAAAAATATATATATATTAAAATCTTGTGTGTTGTCTTTTTAATAGACTCATAATAAAAAAGGAAGAGAATTTGTTGACCCAAAAGCACAGAAAAATTCTGAGTTCAAACTGAGAATCAAACTCATGACCCTCCTAGGTTTAGAGCTGACGGTCTGATCGCTGAGCTAATGGAACTCTAAGGTGAGGAGGGTTGAATCCACTGATGTTCCTCTTCTGATTCATTTCGCATGTTGTTGTCACGTTCTAAAACAGTACAGTGGCAATCTGAGCGTACTTCTCAAAAGTCAGAACTGGCCGGCCAAATCAAGGCCGGACCAGTCATTTTAAAAGTGAAATAGCTGGCTTTAATTTCCAAGAATTATATCTTTTGCTAGAAACTATTTGCTTCATGCTTGCTATTTAGGATTTGACTGATCTGGTTGGATAGTTTTGATTAAATGTGAAGTTCTCAGTATAACAGGAATGGTCTGGCTGGTCAATTTTGACAGATGGAAAGTGACCTTAAATGGACCATGATCAGATAGGGGTCAATCTGATTATTTCCGATGATCATTATGAAATCTCAGCTCACTCCAAACACGACAAAGTACTCTGGGTGAGTCTATGGTCAAGTGACAAAATCAACATCTAAATAGTGTCAGCTTTACTCAATTGATCAGCTATTTAACTTCACTCATTTTTTTTTACTTTAGAACTAAACATTCACTTAATTTAGAATTGAAGAAAATAAAATAAAAGCTAGTTTAACAAAATAACTTGTTATCATTGCATTCTTCTAATTTTATACAGATCACACCACAGGAAGTGAAAGGTTTAGGATAGACTGACAAAAATCAGGGGTAATCATCCTTAATTTACAATGTAACTAAAAAAACCTAACTTGCTACAATTTCCAAGTTACTTCTACATATGATTATAGATACAGTAAGAGCAGAAAACCAAACTACAAACAAGAAATAACTAAAATGAAAAGTTAATACACTTTGACAAATATTGTACTTTAATGTCATTATTCAAGAACTAGATCATACCAGAACCTAAAAACTTAACCCAAAAAAGCATTTTGCTTTACTTTCTATGTAAAAGTTTTTTCACAAATGATAACAGTTTTGGAGCTAAGACGGTGTCACAAAACTGATTTTGTTGCTACATGTAACAGGAATTATATTCTTTGAATTATGATGAAAACAATATTACTCCATTTTTTAAAAGGGTGGTTTAGCAACTAGATTTACTGCAGCTTTTACCACATAGTAAACATTAAAATTATGAATATATACATCTAGCTGAATTTTTGAAAACTGGCCTGAAAAAAGCCCAGAATAGGGCTAGCTTAAGTCTTAAGCTGCCTCTGTCTTATGGGGCCTTAAAGCAGCTAGAGATGGCCATGTTGACATTTTCTTTTTAGTAGACTTGAATATTTCTTCACTAATCAGGAACCAAGAAGAGAGTCACCTTAGAGGGATTATGGGTTAGAGCTGAATTTCTTTAAAATATTGGCCCCTTTATCTAGAGTTACCAGCTGGTGCAGTTTTCATAAATTTGGCTAGATATGAATTTAAAAAATTGAAAAAGCTATTCTTACTTAATATCAACAAAACGGAAACCAAATAAGTCTTTTAGACGTACAGTGTATTTAAAAACTAACCAAAACTAATGTTTTAAAAGAATATTGAAAAATTTACCCTGTATCTCATAATAAGCAGATTAACCAGCACAAACTTGTGGCAGGTGACATGTTGTGACACACCCTTTGGTAAAGTTGTTTGAATCACACTCTGAACTGTACAGATTTAAAAGGGTCTAATCAAATAAGTTTAAGAAACCAAGATCACGCTTGTACGGAAAACTTAGTTTCTATACTGGCACGATTTGGAAAAAAACATTAAGCTAAATTAAAAGAATAATTTTAACTCACTATATAAATGTACTCAAGTTGTAGACCGATAACTTTGACAATCCCGTTTTGTTTAAATTAAAATTCTAAATAATACAGGAAAAATCCCACAAAACCACCCACATCGAAAAACCGAAAAAATTCAGTCTCGACTGGGCAAAATTTTTGACAGTTTTTCACGCGTGCAGAACGCAATGAAAGATCGCGAAAAACAAAACTCCTTTATCGTTCTTTTCTCTCCTTGCGTGAAAAATTAAGAGTGATCACTCTCCCAAAAGCACATGTATGAATGTCTGGGCGTTTATGATACTCACAGTCACGAAAGGTCGACTTGTCCGGAAACGAAGAGGCCATAGGAGAATTCGGTTAAGCTGGATATCCTTTTGACAAAATTCACGAGTTGTTTCTAAGTCACGCGTTTGGGCGTCTAGTTCTAACAATCGACTGTCCGTGAAAACGAAAATGCACGCAAAACAAAACAATGAGTTTGTTTTAAGACAACGACCAATCGTCTGATGATATGGCATCATGAAATTTTAAAGACCATTAAACAATAAAGAATTACATGAGCTTTCAAACAACAACAGCCGAGAGTGAATATTCATTTCACTTTACGTAAACTTTGAAAGATATATCTGGGTAGCAATTCTGACTTTTTGACAATTATGAAAGAAAGACAACAAGCAACATCTAATAATTTCACCTACTTGCTCCTTTGTCAACGACGTGATTTAAGCAGCTCTAATAAAACATGTAAAGCCGTACATTCTGTACTTAATTCCGTGAAAGAATGCATCAAACATATTATTTCAGCTGACTTTAAGTGAACATGACAACTTACAAGACAAATCAATGGGTAAAATAATTGAAGAAACAAGCATAACATACCGTCAACCTGTGCTCCCGTCAGGAGGAATTGCTGAAACGCAGAAAACATTTATCTGTCAAGAGAAAAGCTACAAAATATGAGACGTATCACAAGTCGTCGTACCTTATCTGAGGAAGCCATCTTCGCCACTGACGCCCCAGTACTTGATACCAGCGGTATGTAAGTAGTAGTCACCAGGACTTTGCCCTAGAGGGTTTCGTTCTCCCAAGTGCGTAATACGCACTCAGAGTGCGAACGTCTGATTTCTGTAGCTAGAGTGCATAGTTCCTTTTAAAGAGTGCGGACTGAGCGTTTAGGCTTGTTTGCTGCTTCTAAGTTATCAATTTCCATGAAAATGTTCCAATAAGGCATTGAATGATGACTTTGGATGTCCCAACGAAATGGCTTCGGAAGCGGTCAAAGTTCGCTTGAACATCTTCGGACGTTTTCGGAAGTCTTCGGAAAATCGTCCGAAATCCTCGGAAGTCGCTGGGACAATATAAATTTCGGAAATCCCGTCCTTGACAAGGCAAAAATCTCTCAAATCTCAATCTCATTTGACTCGGAAAAAGTTGGCGGGTATACTTAATGCAGCCCGATGATTAAAAATTGGAATGTATTGTGACACTTCTATGGTGTGAAGAGTCCCATTATATTCCTGGTTTCATTATTGGTTTACCTGTGAGAAGCCTGCAACCTTCCTTGATAGAGTTTATAGAAAAAGAATCCCGAATCACTCGGCTCTTAAGTGATCGTGATTCGTGATCTGAACTATCCTTTCTTAGAAGCGTTTCTCCTGCTTGTCAAAACAGCTGTCAGTAGCGGTTTTAATTCAACTATTCAATTGCAATTCTAAGGGAATCGACCGCAATTGCAAAGTAGCCTGTTTTTGGCTCCAAGACAGTAATGTGCAGATCACGAAAACTAATACACACCTCTGCCCCCTCCGGGTGGGGGGAGGGGGGTACTCCGGATTTCAAGTGACAGGGATGGTCGAAGGATTTTTTGGGGTTTGAAATTTTCTATTTCGGGGTTTTTTCGGGTAGGAAAATTTTGGCAAGTATTTTTTGGGTAGCTTGATGAGCCGGAGTAACCAGGGATTTTTGGGGGTATGCAAAATTAAAACAATCTGAAGATTCGTGCGGCCCGCGTATCCCGGCCTCGTACGGGTAACTCCGCGAATAAAGTAAAATCAAACTTGTTTTGTGACTGTTTTAATATTTAACGCATTACATTGCATCTTTGGTAATATACAATCAATCAATGGTCTGCAAGGTGTCCTGGGGTGTAAATCAACACTTCAATTCCTTTTTTGTTGTCTCCGTTTATAACAGAAATTTTATGGCTCAGAAATTCGGCATGGGAGTTTTTAAGGGTTAAATTTTGATCCAGCGTTTTTTCTGGTTTTTGCCCTAACACTCCCGAGCTGCGACGCAGGTTGTTACCATGGATACCCGAACAGAAGCGGCCGACACCGATTCATCCTGCCGCAAGGGAGGAAAAAACCTCTGGTCGGTACCCCGTAAATAATAATTAAGAAGAAAACCGCCAACGCTGAAATGTAACATGTATCTTTATTTATAATTTGTATGCATAATTTAGATGAAAACAAAAAAAATATACATATATATATATATACATCTACGATATTTCTTGACTTGGCAACTTTTCCCTACATATCATGTCAATCATATTTAACTCGGCGTTTGAGAGAAAGTTTAATTAATAACCTCTCTTTGGCTATCAGAGACAGTTTGTCTATGCTCTCAACCCGGGGGGGGGGGGGGGGGGGGACATTTTTACAAAAAAAAAATATTTTTTTTTTACGCGTTATAAA